ATGCTCTCATATTATACAAAAATGTTCTGCTCATAAAACATGAATTAAACCTCATTTATTTTTTACTTTTTATTTTCTACTCGAGCATCTCCAATGGGGGTTGCTTATAAGTAACCACATGTGCCACATCACTGCTAAATCAGCTCTGGCTCACTTTATGGGTTGCTTAAATTTTAGCAGAGTTGCTTGTAGAAACAACTCTGCTAAAATTTAAGCAACTCATAAAATGGGCCAGAGCTGATTTGGCAGTGATGTGGCACAGGAAATTACTTATAAGCAACCCCCATTACAGATGCTCTTAGTGACCTTAGTGTTGGAGTCTTTAGATATTTATTACTGATTTTTTCTTTGACATATATATATATATATATATATTATATATATATTAATAAACTACTATTAAGTTATTTTTTCTCTAATTAATATTAATTAATTAAAGTGTATGTCTTATACTATTTTTCTTTCTCCGTTAATACTCATATTTCTAGTAACTAATTAAAGTGCGTACTTTTTAAGGAGTTTATAATTAATGCATTTTATTAACTTAAGATAACACACTTTAATTAGGAATATTTTAGTCTAAAATAATTAATATATGAAAGAACAAATAATTATTTTAAGTTGAGTCTTATAAATAGGAATTGAGGTTAGAGCTGTCAAAGTGGGCTTGGCTCAGTGAGCCAACTCGGTCCACCATGGGTTCGAGCCAGGTTAGGTTAAAAAAAATTGAAAATTTCAATACCGGTCAATTTTGAACCCGACTCACTAACAACCCGACTCACCCAGGTTGAACCCGTGGTGAGTTGGGTTGGCCCACCAATCCATGATGAAATTTTTTTTAAAAAAATACAATAATTATTGGGCCATGGTGCAGCCCAACATGAGACAATAATAATTTAATGTTGGATTGTGATTTGTAATTTTTATGATTTTGGATTGTATTTGAAGTTTAAGATGATTTTGGATTATACTTGAAGTTTAAGATGATTTTGGATTATATTATCTATTTGAGATTATTTAGATTTGATTTGATTGTATTTAAAATTATCATTTAATGTTTGGGATGAATTCATTTATGGATGTCTTAATTATGAATCTCATATTTTTAAAATAAGTTTGAATTTTTTGAGTTTTAGTTGTATATTAAGAAAAAAAAGATGAATTTTTTTTTAAGGTGAGTCAACCCATTTAACCCACCAACTCGCGGTGGGCTAGGCCAGGTTCGATTATTTTGAGTTCACTAATAAATGAGTCGGGTTGGATTAGCCCACTAAATGGTCAACCCGTGGTGGACCGGGCCGGGTGGCCCGTTTTGACAACTCTAATTGAGGTATTCTATATAATGACTTTTATATTATTATTCAATCACAAATATCATATATATATATGTGTGTGTGTGTGTGTGTGTGTGTGTGTGTGTGTGTGTGTGTGTGTGTGTGTGTGTGTGTGTGTGTGTGTGTGTGTGTGTGTGTGTGTGTGTGTG